GGGAGAGGAGCCTGGTTCCTGGTTTGCTCTGTGGTGGGGGCAAGTCACTGCCCCTCCAAGCTTCATTTCCCTCTGTTAGGGGAAAGAGATGGGTCTAAAGAAGCTTCCAGTTCTCACATTCTAGAGAAGGACCATGACCATTCCAAAGGCAAAGCAAGAAACCAGCCATCAACAGCAATCATAAAAAGTTCCCAACCCAGTGCTCTCTTCAGCAGCACATGTACTAAAATTGGAATGATTCAGAGAAGATTAGCACGTCCTGTCCCCCCCCCAGCAAGGATGGCATGTAAATCCGTGAAGCATTCTATATTTTTTTAAAAGTTGGGCGCGGGGGCGGGAAGAATGGGTCAACGGGGGATAAAAGAGGATGTCTGTAATACTTTCAACAATAAAGATAAAAAAATTTTAATAATTTTTTTTTTAAAGTTCACAAGCCAGAGCACTCACAGGTGAGTCCTGTTCATTCCTCACTGCTCCACTGGTGGGCACACATTTGAGAGAGGCCCAAGCTACTGGCAGACCCCAGCCCCAGGGGGTATAGCTGGGCTTGGGCAGTGACAATGTCACCGGCTTTCTCCATCCCATCACACCTCATGGAATCAGTGATTCTGGTATAGGCACAGTGTCTGGAGATAAAGGCCCCTCTGCAGATCTTCACCCAAATCTGGGACCCAGGTCTCCCTGCAGTTCCAGCCCCAGTGGCCAACATTTGTCCAGCACCTACTTCCTCTGCTTTGGACATCGGCCACTCCAAGTCCTCCTGGACCCCTTTTCTCTGCCAGTCTGTCCTGACCAGCAATCCACCTTTGTTTTCAGTTCAGTGAATGCATCCAGATATCAGCACGCTTGTAACATACAACCACTCAGTGCCTTAGAACTGAGGCTTTATTCTCTCACAGGTCTGAGGGCAGAAGTCCAGGGTGGTGGGGCTGGGTTCTCTGCTCAGCACTTTACAAGGCTAAAATCAAAGTTTCTACCTGTTGTGACCTCACCTGGCACTTGGAGTCCTCTTCCAAGCTCATTCCTGTTGTTGGCAAGATTCAGTTCCTTTTGGTTATAGGACTGGGTCCCTGTTACCTGTCAGCCAGGGGGCCTTCTCAGCTCCTTGTTGCTACTCTTTGGTCCTTGCATGTGCCCCCCTCCATCTTCAGGTGCGAGGTTCAAATCTCTCTGTCTCCCCTTCCACCAGCAGCCAGAGGAAGCTCCCCAGACATACTGTCCACTCACCTGTCTTCAGGGGTATCATGCATAATCAGCCTGTGGGGGAAGAAGAGGGAGGAGGGAAAGGGACTGGTGTGCTCCCAGTAGGAAGAGCACCTGCGTTGGATCCTTTGTTTAGAGGGTTTTTAAAGGCTGGAAGTTTAGAGGAGGTCTTAGGGGAGATCTCAATAGAATATTCTTCAGATTTTCCAGGTGTGCCCTTTCAGGGTCCTGGTTTCTACTGATTGGTCAGGGTAAGGTCAAGGGGTCACTAGCCGAATTGTACATTTTAAATGGGTGAATGATATGGTATATGAATTACATCTCAACTTAAAAAAATCATCCTCCCCAATTTTTATTTTATTTATTTATTTATTTATTTATTAAATATTTTATTTTATTTTTAATATATCTTTATTGATTTCAGAGAAAGGAAAAGAGATGGAGAGAGAGAGATGGAAACATCAATGATGAGAGTCATTGATTGGTTGCAGCCCACAACCCAGGCATGTGCCCTGACCGGGAATCGAACCCCGGTCACCTGGATCCTAGGTCGATGCTCAACCGCTGAGCCACGCCCGGCCAGGCCTCCCCAATTTTTAGATCCCCAGTCTACTGTCCACTGGCCATTATGTTCTTGCCCACTCTATAATGCTTCAAGTAAGCTTGAGTAACCATTTGAACAAAATCAGTAAAATCACATAAACCACCTTGGATCTGGCACAGATCTATGAGACTGGTGTTAGAAATACATAGCGTGGCTCGGCCAGGCGTGGCTCAGGGGTTGAGCATTAACCTAGGGTCCAGGAGATCGCGGTTGGATTCCCAGTCAGGGCACATGCCCGGGTTGTGGGCTCAATCCCCAGTTGGGGCTGTCAATCAATGACAACTCTCTCATCACTGATGTTTCTCTCTCTCTCTCCCCCTCCCTTCCTCTCTCTGAAATCAATAAGATATATTAAAAAAAAGAAAAAAGAAAAAAAAAGAAATACATAGTGTGGTTTACTATGGACATATTTGTTCTCGGCACATCATTGTCTCAAAAAATTGACATTTGTGACCTGGCCAAGCCAAGATTCCTACACTTTCACTATCTAGCCATGTTTCATGACCTTTGAGCTAAGGTCAAACCCCAAGTCACAGGGTATGAACAGAGCACAGGCTTAGAGATTAGCAGACCTGGGTTCAAATCCAGCTTTGTGTGAGGTGGATGGAGCTATTCACCTTTATAAGCCTCAGGAAATAATGAGGGTATTTGCTGTGAGCACTGGATGAGATATCACATGTAATGTGCTTGGCACATAACCGTTATTCCTCCTTCCTACTTCTAGATCAGAACTGAGAGGCCTTCAAAACGGAGGCCTCAATGAGTTGTTACACACATTTGCTTGAGTTGGGTTTCCCTAAGGAGAAATTCTCTGCTGGCCAGATTTCCTCCTGCCACATGCACACATCTGGCAGCACCTCTCCCTTTTGCAACCCTGACAACTTGTCATCTGTCCTATAATACTGAAAATGTTCACAAGAACACCACTCAGAAAGAGGAACAGAAAATCACCCTGCAGCAGAACCCTGCCTGCTGTGTGCTCAGAGGCACTTAGCTTCCTAGGGAGGGCCAGAACTGCCACCACAGGACCTAGGAGGAGGAAGAAGGGGGAGAGGGCTTGGAGTGAGCAGTCAGGCAAAACTGACAGTAACCACCAGTCCTAAATGGCAGGACGTGCTGTCTTTTCTCAAGAAATCCCAAAGGATGCCTGGCCAGCATGGCTCAGTGGTTGAGCATTGACCTATGATCCAGGAGATCGTGGTTCGATTCCTGGTCAGGGTACATGCCTGGGTTGTGGGCTCCATCTCCAGTAGGAGGCATGCAAGAGGCAGCCAATCAATGACTCTCTCATCATTGATATTTCTGTCTTTCTCTCCCTCTCCCTTCCTCTCTCTGAAATCAATAAAGGCATATTTAAAAAAAAAAAGAAAGAAAGAAAAGAAAAGAAAAAAAGAAATTCCAAAGGGAAAACATTTAAAGGTCAATTTTTTTGGGGGGGTGGTGAATTTATGGGGTTACATTGGTTTGCAAAACTATACAGGTTTCAAGTGTGCAATTCAATAAAACCTCATCTGCACACTGCATCATATGTCCATTGCCCAAACAAAGTGTCTTCCTGTCCCCATCTCTCCCCCTTTGCCCACCTTCACCTACTCCCAACCCCTTTTCCCTTTGGCTATCATCACACTGTTATATGTGTGTCCATGGGCTATGCATATATGTTCTTTGGCTACTCCCTTCACTTTCTTTCATCTAGTCCCCCAACCTCTTTCCCTCTGATAGCTGACTGTTCCATGTAACCATGCCTCTGTTTCTAGTTTGTTCCTGTTTATTTTGTTCATTAGATTCCACATATAAGTGAGATCATATGGTATTTGTCTTTCTCTGACTGTCTTATTTCACTTAGCATAACAATCTCCAGGTCCATTCATACTGTTGCAAAAGGTCAGATATCAAAAGGTAAATTTTTAAGTTGGCTTAACTGACCTGTGATCCCATGGCCACCTGCAGACTTCTGAAGCTCTACATACAGGCAGGCCTGTTCTTCCACCACAAAAATGGCAGGACTTCCATCCCATAATCAAAGGCAATTAATTTGTAGCAATTATCTAATTAATTTCTATGCAGTGTTCTAAGACACAGTGGGAGAAATAAGTAGGAGATATTAAGATCCGCTTCAGTCTGGACCTGTTTGCCTCCCTGGTATCACTGTCCACTAATCCTCTATAATAACTGCGAACTGCGGGCCGACTCAGAGCTGTCCCCACCCCACCCCGGAGCGCGGTTCCCACAGAGTCCACGCAGGTTTCCTCCTCACTCCACTGTCTCCATGGTGTCCCCCGTACGTGATGCTAGGCGGCACTGGGAACTACGGGGAATAAGGGTTGGGGAGAGGTAGC